AAAAATAATAAGAAATACCGTTATAATTCTCGGTATAATTTCATTATTTATTTTATATATAAGTGGTAATATTTTCTCTCAAAATAATGTATACTTTTACATGTTTTTAGTATTTTAAACATGCGAACTTTATGTTCTCTTATACAAGTTAATTTTATATTGTTGATAATAAACTGTTATACGACGGTCAATTATAACACATGCTAACCCCACCACTCGAACTCGAGACCTATTTATAATTATTAAACTGATATACGACGGTAAATATATCACATGTTAACCCCACATCTTTAATTTATATATATTTTTTTTTTGCTCTTTTAAAATAGGATTATGGTTCCCCACCACTAGAACTCGAGACTTATTTATAATTATTATTTAATATAATTACCCGTGCATCGCACGGGGCTACGCACTAGTGGGAAACTATTCTAGGACACTTGGATGATCTCCAATGGCTACACCTAGAAAATGTTGTCCATACAATTTATTTTTGTTTGGAAAAAAAAAATATTCTCTCAAATAAATAAAAAAAAAAAAGAAAAAATGAAAAAAAAAAAGTTGAAATAAATTGATCAATTGCCGAGATTTGCATATATGGTATTGTGCCTTATAGAGTTGTGTATGTATGTTTTCTTGGGAGATAATTGGAGATAGGGGATGGTGATTTTTCATCGATGTCTTGTTCGATTTTTTTTAGTCACTTGGCCTATATTTTCCTACCTTGTCCAAAGAGCCTACATTACAACCCAAAAGTCCTATTGATTCATAGCTCACGTACATTAATTGTATTTAGTAAAGTGTAGACGATTTGCGAGCTTATGGTTGACTTTGTGTTTTGAACTAACTTGAGCGTACCCTTGTATTTCTTTGATGATATTTCACAAGATATTTGAGTGAGGCACATATATATTTGACCTTATTTGAGAGTTCATTAATTCAAAGATTTATCAAGTTAAGAGTTGGGGCATATGTATTTGCGATTACTTGAATTTATCTTAATTATTTAAGTGACTTGAGACTTTTCTTGTTTGAAATCACTTTTCATGCACGTGGTTTGTTTTTTCTTATTCGTTGTTCGAGGACGAACAATGGTTAAGTTTGGGGGATTTGACATGCGTCATATTTACGTGCATTTTATAGTGATTTTCTTGTCCGTTTCGTCGTAGTTTGATATATAATTAGTTATTGTTTAATTAGTTATTATATAATTAATTATTTAATTAATTAATTTTATTAAGCTATGACGAGGTGTTGTATTTTAAGTTTTAACAGGAAACTGGGCTGAAATAATTTTTGGAGTCGAAAACTGTGCGAGTCTTGCATTAAAACGGACCCAATTAAAAGGAATGTGGACTTTTGGGCCGAATAAGCAGCTATCAGGGCCCACTATTTTGAAGCCAGTGACATGCCATAATGGACAAAAAGAAGTAGCCCAATTGCTAAACTAAGTGAGGACATATATGTAATGTTACATGGAGAATTTTGTTTGGAGCTTCTTCTTCATACGTACATACAGAACTCGTCTGCCATTTTTGAGCTGGAGCTGCTCGACCAAGCCCTTCACCGGAGCTCCGATGACGACCTGGAAGCTGAGATGATCACCCACTACGCCGTCCAGACCACCTCTCCGTCCTCCGCTGCCATCCTTTCACCAACGATAAGCTTGAAGTTGTTGTCCCGCCGGAAAAATCGCAGACCGCCGGAGCTGCCGGAACTTTGCCTTATAAATCGTATTACGATGTCCTGAGCCACCTGGGATATTAGAAAACGCAACAGGAGACGTGACGTGCGCGAAAAGTGAAGATTTTAGGCTCCCAGGTGCACACTAGTCGTGTGGGATAAACACGACTCGTGTCGTTCCGATGGGTCGAGAATCGAGCTCTCGGCTTTTTCACACGACTCGTGTGGCTAGAGACACGAGTCGTGTGACCCTGGGCGCGACCAATACGGGTTTCACGCGTTTTTCCTATTTTTTTGGTATTTTCGACCTATTTCGACTAGGACTCGACCTCAACTATAAAAATAACACTTGGACACGTTTTTGAGGGGTGGAGAACCTAATTTTCAGATCTTTGGAGAGCTTTGGAGGCTAGAAACACGAGCAAGACGAGGGAGAAAGCCCGGGAAGAAGGGATCGACGGAGCCGAATAAGCTTTTTCTTTCTTTTTCTTTTCTTCTTTCGAACTCAATGTTTTATATTTATTTTGAAAGCATGTTTCTAGGATAATTTATTTTAGATTCTAGGATTTGTTAGTACTCGGATTGATTTATGATTTAGTTTTTTATTTGTTTCATTCCGGTTTATCTTTCGTTTATGAATTTCTTTTGCGTATTTTTATTGCGTGAGTAGATGGCCACTATGAATGCATATTTGTGATCAATTTGAGACTGAGAGGAGATAATTGATTGCTAGAATTGGGAAATTTATAACGTGAGAGACTAAACAGACCGAGAAGTTGATAGAATCTTACGAGAGAACGAAAATCCTAGGAACTTATGGGAGTTAGTTGTTCATCTTGAGACCGAGAGGAGATAGATAACAATCAATATCTACGATTTACTTGTTCGAGAGAAAAGTTGAAATCAATTTAGTGATTATCTCTACGATTGGTAAAATTAAATAAGGTTTGTATGAATATAAACGTTTCATGAATTAATTCCGAGGAAAGCAGAACCTAGAATCTATCTTTTATATCTTGATTTATTTTTATTTCTTTAGGTAAATTAGTTTTTAGTTTAATTTTATAGTTTAGAATCATCATCTCATTCGTTAGTCTAAATAATATTTAATCATCATTATTTTAGTACTTAATTAATTTAACTACAATCTCTGTGGAATACGACCTTGCTCGTCACTACCTATAGCTACGCCGTACACTTGCGGATAGCAAAAATAAATAGCGAACAATACCCATATCAGAGTGAGCAAATTCTAAGCCAATAATGTATTTCAAAGAACCTAAGTCCTTAATTGTGAAACACTTATCAAGATGATGTTTAATGGCACAAATATGCTCAATGTTATCTCTTGTAACTTTTATGTCATCAACATATACAAGCAATGCAATGAATGAAGATGCAGTCTGCATAGTAAAAAGAGAGGAATCAACAATTGATTGAACAAAACCATAGTATATGAGACATTTGGTTAATTTTGAAAACCATTGCCTTGAGGCTTGTTTTAAACCATAGAGGCTTTTTATAAGTTTACATACTCTACTATCACCTTTTTTGCAATAGCCAAGAGGAGGTTTCATATAGACTTCCTCATCTAAATCTCTATGTAAGAATGTATTATTGACATCAAGTTGATGAATGTGCCAGTTTTTAATGGATGCTAATGCAATTAAAAATTTGATTGTGGTGATTTTAGCCACAGGAGAGAATGTTTCAAAATAGTATATTCTCTCTTCATGTATATATCCTTTAGCAACTAATCTTGCTTTATACCTCTCTATGCTACCATCAAATTTATATTTACTTTTAAAAACCAATTTTGAACCAATGCAATGCTTGTTTTGAGGTAAAGAAGTTAAAACCCATGTGTTTGTTTGTTCTAAAGCATTTGGTTCTTTTTGCATTACTAACTGTCATTGAGGGTCTTTGGCAGCTTCAGTATAAGATTTTGGTTCAGTAATCAATGAAATGAATGCAGTATAACATTAATGTGATGCTGATAATGATTCAGTGGATAAGTAAGAAACAATGGGATATTGTGATGTCCCAGATGTGCAATCTGAGATGGTTGCATAGTTTATATGAGAAGGATGTAAAGAATGTTGATAAATATCTAGATAAACAGGAGGTTTTGTAGATCTAGTTGATCTTCTGAGAGGGTGAGGTTGTTGAGATAAAGCCAATGAAGGTGTAGAAGATTGAGAGTTTGTGGCTTCTATAGACTGAGGAGATATTTGTTGTCTGTGAGGAGGAGAGGTAGTAGTTGAATCAGAGACATTAGAGGATGAAGGAGTATGATTATTGGTGTTACCTGTAGGAGTTTGTGGGATTTGTGTAGTAATATTATAAGCATGTAACTCAAAATATGTAAAAGGTTGCGGTTGAGGAAATAGTTTATCAGATTGTTGAGATGAATCAGATTGTGTAAAAGGGAGGAAATTCTCATAGAATTGCACATATATGGATATTATTGTTTTCTTGGTATCGAGGTTGTAAAGTTTATACCCTTTACAACCTATGGGATAACCAAGAAGTATGCATTTTTTGGCTCTTGGGTCAAATTTATGTCTGTTTGCAGTGAGAGTAGATGCATAACACAAACAACCTATTACTCTAAGATGTTTATATGATGGTGCTGTGTTAAACAACAATTCATAAGGTGACTTACCATTGAGCACCACAGATGGAACTCTGTTGATTATGTGAGCTGCAGACATAATACAGTCTATCCAGAAAATTAGAGGTAAGTGAGCATGAAAAAGAATGGCCCTAGCTACTTGCAAAAGATGTTGATGTTTTCTCTCTACCTTTACATTTTGTTGAGGAGTCTCAACACAACTTGTTTGATGTAATATGCCTTTTGTTTTGAAGAAATCATGCATGAAGAACTCAGTTCCATTGTAAGTTCTAATAATTTTGATGTTTTTGCTAAACTGGGTAGAAACCATGTTATAAAAACTTATAATGCTTTGAGAAGTGTCAGATTTATTCCTAAGGGGATAAATATATGTTGTTCTAGTGAAATCATCTACCACAGTTAAAAAATACTTGTAACCTTCATGAGAAACAACAGAAAATGGTCCCCAAAGATCACAATGGACAAGTTCAAAGGCATGAGAAGATTTAGAAGTACTTACAGAGAAAGGGAGCCTCTTTTGCCTTGCAAAGTGGCAAACATCACACGGTAAAGTGTGTAAAGTTTTACAAGAATAATCAGAAATAGGTAATTGCAACAGTTTAGAGTAAGATAAATGTCCCAGTCTGTTGTGTCATATAACACTGTCCAAGGAGTCATGATTTACAGTATTCTTTACAGGTAAATGAGAGGTTACGTCATGCTTTACAGGTAAATGAGAGGTTACATCATGCTTTAAAGGTAAGGTGTAAGTAGCAGAAACATGTTCAGAATTAAAAGACTTAGTAGAGTCATCAAGAGACAAATGGTAGAGGCCTTCTTTTAACTCAGCGGAACCAATCATTTTGTGAGTTGTCAAATCCTGTAAAATGCAATATGAGGACACAAATTGGACTACACAGTTGTTGGTGGATGCTAGTTTAGAAACAAATATGAGATTGAAATTAAAACTATGCACCAATAAAACATCATGTAGTGCAAGTGTGGATGACAGTTGTATATGACCAACAGAAACAACAGTAGTAACATGTCCATTAGGCAGATTTATATTAACATTATGAATAGGCCTAAGTGACTGAAAATGAGAATCATCACATATCATATGATCAGTGGCCCCAGTGTCCAATATCCATGAGTTCCTACTTAAATGTTTAGAAACTAGACATGAATAAAGAGTACCTTATATGCCTTGAATAGCAGTTGCCACTACAGGAGTTGGATTAGACTGTTTGGCCTTCTGAGTTCTTTTGAAAGCTAAAAACTCATGAAAGAGCTCATTAATCATGGAAGATACATCAGAATTAGGGTTAGAATTCTCATCAGTAGTGGTAGTGGCATGGGAAAGGTTAGCAGAATGTTGAGGATGTATTCTTGGGCCTTTTGGTCCAACCCAATTGGGAGGATAGCCATAAACTTGGTAGCACTTGTCAGAAGGGTGGGGATATCCACAGTGGTGCATTTGGGCCTGGGTTTTTTTATCTTTGTGAAAAGGTTGTTTCTGGAATTTCTGGTTTGAGGTAGTAGTTTTGGCTATCATGGCTAAAGGATCATGAGACAATGTAGAATTGTTTAAGGATCTTTGTGATTCTTCTTTGAGCAAAAGGGAGTATATTTTTGTGAGATTTGGTAGGGGAGATGAGAGAGGAAATGGTTTATGAGTGATGCATATGAATCATTGAGTCCAATTAAGAATTTCATGACACAGTCTTGCTGTTGAGAATTAGCCATGGACTCAAAAACATTGCAAGTACAAGATACAAAAGCACCACAATGATATCGAAAGACATGTCAAAATGTCAGATATTCATCCAAGAGTCCCTTAAAATTGTTATAGTATTGAGTAATAGACATTGAACCCTGATCTATGGTACTAAGAGACTTCTCTAACTGAAAAGCCCGAGGACCACTACTAACTGCATATCTATTTTTCAATTCATCCCAGACATCTTTTGCAGAGGTAAAAAACAATAATGACTGTCTGATATCTTTCGAAATTGAATTCAATAGCCATGACATAACCAGATTGTTGGCCCTCACCCAAGACACATACAGACTAGGGTTATCAGTAGGAGAAGGAGAGAGAAGAGTACCATCGACAAATCCACCTTTATTTTTGACACTGAGTGCCATCAGGACAGCTCGCGACCATGAAACATAATTCTCGCCGTTGAACAACTCGGCTATGATGATCGCTCCTGGATTGTCACTAGCATGGAGGAAATATGGAGACGCAGGATCGCCAGTAGGGTTTGCGATAGCAGCCATGTCGATAATCGATCGAAAGAACTATGAATCAGGAACAAAAGATCTAGTAGATGTAGATCAAACAATCGGTTTTCAGAGATGGAAAACCCTAAAAATAATCGATCGATCGTCGAACAAAAAAACAGAAAACAAATCGATAGAAACTCAGATATGGAGATTCAATCGATGAAGGTAAACAAGATTGTGGAAGCGAAAATCGAAGGATCGATGGCGATTGATACCATATTAGATTGAAAGATAGATCGAAGAACAAAGACAACACATGAGGAGAAAGGAAAAACTGTGCAAAACTTTGTAAATCGGAAAAAGTGAGTACATAGGAGGTGTTTGACCTATTTATACTTAGGGTTGTATAAGGATATAAAGGTAATTACAATATAAGCTATAGTTGTTGTTTTTCAAAAACTTTACATAAAAGTGTTTTTACATTAAAACAACGACTTTGCATATACATTATTGGGAGATGCTACGGTCTCGTTACGGTATCATTCCGTCAGTTGTTTTAACCGTTAGATCTACGTGTAGTTAGATAAGATCGATGATCAAACGGTTAAAACACCCGACGGGTCTCGTTACGGTATCATTCCGTCAGTTGTTTTAACCGTTAGATCTACGTGTAGTTAGATAAGATCGATGATCAAACGGTTAAAACACCCGACGGGATGGTACCGTAACGGGATGGTACCGTAACGGGATGGTAGCATTTCCCTACATTATTACTATTCGCCATTTTCAATTTCTCAGAACTTCAGATCTCAGAATCGATCGAGAGCCTTCACTTCAGATCGCCATTCGCCATTTTCGCCTCGCCTCACCTTCACTTCAAAATCGAAAGCCTCGAGCCACCTTCACCGAAAGCCGTCATCCTACTCAGAATCGAAGGCCTCCTTCGCTGACTCACCTTCACCGTCAGCCCGCTGTGCCCCAAGGCCCAAGGTAACATGTTGAATCGAGTTGCATACTTTCATTAGCACTTTGCAGTTTATATGTAATGAACTGAGCTCATTGTTCTTGGATAAGTATTTTCGGCCATCATTCTTCTGTGATTTGTCCCTATTGGTAATGTAATTGGTTTTTCTTTTGTCACTATGCAGTTCTTTGGAACATTATGAATATGAAATATGAACAGTGATGAGGCATATGCTGATATGCCTTTAATTTCTCAATTTCTGTAATCGGTTTTTGTTCGATATAAACCGAAACCGTAACTGAAAAATCGGTTACCGAATTCGGTTCGGTTTCGGTTTGCATATTAGTGAAACCGAATGTGGTCGGTTCGGTATCAGTATGAAGCCGAACCGGTACCATCCCTAACTTTAGTCAATTTTTGTTTAAATTATTGAGCTTGTCAATGAATTGATGATCAATGACTAGTGTGGTTTTGAAATCGGATTTAAAAGTAAAGAATATGGAACAACCACTCTGTTTTTTTCCATCTTTTGGTGGATATGTTAGAAGTCCTTCCTTGAATCTCCAATTTAATTTGAACCCCTCAGACTGCAACCCTATTCATACATAGTGCTTGAGTGTTTTTGCTAATGTAGTTACCGATTTTAAGGCAACCAATTTTGTTGAGATGGTAATTGATTAGTTCAAGTGTTTTCACAAATGTACTTACTGATTTTAGGCAAACAAGTTTGTTGATCTGATAATTGAATCATCTACAGATCAGATACTAATCATACTACCATCCTGTGCTACCTGAGCTTATTCTTCCGTGTGAGATAACCTTTGATTTTTAGAAGTTGAAAAACAGAGTGGTTGTTCCATATTCATTACTTTTAAATCAGATTTCGGCTTAACTAATGTCTTCTTACAATTTTTTGGCAGTTTTGACAAGGGTTCTAACTCTTGGTGAAGGCAAACATGATTTACACAGCCATAGATACATTTTATCTGACGGACGAGGAATTGAAAAACTCACCTTCTAGTAAAGATGGTATTGATGAAGCAACTGAAACTACACTTAGAATCTACGGCTGTGATCTGATTCAAGAAAGCGGCATATTGCTCAAATTGTATCCTTTTTTACATTTCCTGCTCTCTTCGTCTTCAGTATTTCTCTTGCTTTTAATTTAATATGATTTCTTTACATGTAGTTGATGTTGGAAATAACGATTCATTTTTCTTGTTTCCTAATATATATATTGCTATTGTCCTTTTAAGGGTTGAGTGTTAAAGGGATTTTGTTGGTTGTTTTAGGAAATCAGGTTTCATTGTATATTGTCTCTCTTCTTTTCTTATCTATTTTCTCAGACCTCAGGCTGTTATGGCTACTGGTCAGGTCCTATTTCATCGTTTCTATTTCAAGAAATCATTTGCTCGATTTAATGTAAAGGTACATTGTTTACGCTTTGTACATTTTTTAGAAGTCGAGTTCTGTAATTCTAATCTATTAAGATTCTAAACCAATAGTTACTTGCAGAGAGTTGCTGCCAGTTGTGTTTGGCTTGCTTCAAAACTTGAAGAAAGTCCCAGAAAAGCAAGACAGGTTCTCAATGTTTTCCACAGGATGGAATGTAGGAGAGAGAATTTGCCGATACAGCATTTGGACATATATTCCACGGTAATTTCTAGATTTTTTTTTTCAAGGAAATTTTTTCAAAAATGCATGTTATCATAATTTTCCCCTGCTTTGTATTAATATAATCCTCAATGTGATCTTCTCTTCTTGCTCCGTCAATCTGAACTTGATATTGCTGCTAATTAATGGTAACCCAATTATATTTTGATATCATTGACCAATTTAGGTTCTGACCTGGATTCTTGGGTTTTGTTCTTTGTCAGAGATACGTGAATCTTAAAGCAGATTTGATCAAAACGGAAAGGCATCTTTTGAAAGAGATGGGTTTTATCTGCCATGTTGAGCATCCTCACAAATTTATATCTAATTACCTTGCCACATTGGAGACACCTCCAGAACTCAGACAAGAAGCTTGGAATCTTGCAAATGACAGGTAATGCTATCTAGCAAAGATACACAAGTTTGTGCATTCTTTTGTTGGTAATCCATGTGCTGCTACCATGTAACTGGTGTATATGGCTTGCTATACTTTTATTGAAAACTTGAGTCTCTTTTAAATACTTCTAGGTGATGATAGTCATCACCAACTGGGTGAAAATGCATCTAAAATTGGGCCATAGGATACGCCCCTTCAACCAGGATTATAGTGCACGCTTTGCTGAGCAATAAAATTGTCAAGATTATAAGCACTGTAAATGCATTTAGCAGATTTATTATGAGCTTCCGTAATCAAATTTTTGGAGCCAATAACCTTGTGTGAGATTAAAAGCATTTCCTGGTCCTGCATTTTATATTTTTCTTGCCCCTTCTGATCTATATTTTTTTACTTCTTATGTGAACAGTCTGCGGACAACCTTGTGTGTGAGATTTAAAAGCGAGGTTGTGGCATGTGGTGTCGTATATGCTGCAGCACGTAGATTTCAAGTGCCACTACCAGAGAATCCCCCGTGGTGGAAAGCATTTGATGCTGACAAATCTGGCATTGATGAAGTTTGTAGGGTGTTGGCCAAGTTGTACGCGCTTCCAAAGGCCCAATATATACCTGTTTGCAAGGAAGGAGGTTCATTTGCCACATCTAATCGAACACGGGATTCACCGCATCCCTCAGTTTCAAAGGTGAAGACACCACTCTATACTTAAAAAGTAAATTTCCTCGTGTTCTCATGTGTTGGTAACTTCGTATGTTATTTTCCTTGCCACCTGAACCATATTGGATTTCTACCTTAGCCAATTGCTAACCGACATATCTGTTTAGGAAATAATAATGCTTATGTCTTTTTTACATTCACTTAATTTATGTTGTTAAATCAAAGTAGTATCCAATATTCCATTATCCCCTTATTGACCTATACTAGGGTCCACCTTCATTTATGTTCGGGCAATTTTAGCATACTCAATTTTGTATTGTTGGCTTTTGCTCAGGAGGCAACCCCGAATGAAGCTGGTAATAAGGGCGAAGGGGTGAAAGCTGCTCTCGACAAATTGAACGAGTCAAAGAAAAGTGATGACGAATCCAAAAGTATGACCAATGGTGGGGAGTCCAGAGAGGAATCTGAATCGAAATTGATGCCGGACAACAGAACAGAAATTAAGGAGAGAGAAAAAGATAGGGAAAGGGGAAGAGAGAGAAGTAGGAGCAAAGATGTGCGGGACCCTGACAGGGAGCAAGGTAAGGAAGATCATGAGAGAGACAGAGACAAAGTTAAGGAAAGGTGTCATCGTTCCAGGGACAAAGGAAAAGATTCTGGTATGATAAGGGCTTTTGATAGCTGCTGAACGTTTTTTTCTTGCAATTACGAGCCCTTTCACTTATATGATATTCACCGCAAAATCTCATTATGCAGGACGAATGGAGAAGTCCAGGCATCATTCATCTAGAGGTATATTTCCTTTTGTTTTGTTTTGTTTTTCCTAACTCGTTTTGAAACTTGAATAATTTTCTACATAAATGCTGATTTCTATAAATTAGCTCATGAAGAATCTTTTCTTGGCCAGATCGTGACTACCACGGGTCATCTTATTCATCAAGAGAGAGAGAACGTCGGAAACATTACTAGTATGCTGGAGCCAGTTGGACAAACAGCTTTCCTGTTATACAATAGTCCATGAGTATCAGTAGCATATTACTTTGCCATAATACCAGAAAATGGTAATCTTTGTAGAAAACTGAATTGTTCGATTGAGATAAAGGGATGTGATTTGTCTCGAAAATCTTGTGGTCTCGTATCCTCTGGTGATGTCTATGATGTTACTTAAGACTTTGGTTGAGATTTATGAGCTAAAAATGATCTGTTATGTTTATAAAATCAATCATCGATTTTAACTATTATTACTTGTTTATGAGCTAAAAATGATCTGGTATGGAATGTGCGCCTCTCTGGGATGGTAGCTCTAAGACACGGCAAGAAAATATGACATATTGTTCTTTACTTGATTCATGAAAACTACAGCTCACTCAAGTCGGTTAGAGAGAAGGAGGAGATTCTCTCACTAGGGATTTTCAATTCTTAGCGCCGACACCTCTTTGAGCATCATTTCCATGGATTCTTGATTGATTTCCCACATAAACCATCACTTTCCTTTGATTTTATATTTTTCCGATTATCCTAAAACTATAATCTATTCAAATTTGAGTGCGATTTCACTTGCTGAAGAACAATATTCACTCGCTCCTCGCTACAGTGCAATTCGGGATTTTGCAGCTGAACTCTAAATTCTAAGCGAATTTACTGTTCAAATTGGGTCCCAATCGCTGCTACCGAACTGCAGTTCCAACCCCGACCTCAAAGGTGTAATCTTGTCATGATTTCAGAGCTGCACGATTGAGGTCCGTCCGCTGCTACAGTGAAACCCAAGCTGCTGTTGTCCGCTAAAATGACCAAGTCCAAGAACAGAACAAAGTTTCGCCGGCTTATTCTTGATAACTCAGATGACCGAGATGCTACAGACGTTAATCATGACTTGGGAGATGAACTGGACCTGCCTGGAAGCACAAGCTCAACCGCAGGATC